CATTTCTCATTCAGGCACAGAATTTTAGAAGCAGTCTCAAACATCTGTATTATTATGTCTTTCAAATAATGTATGCCCTGGCTTTTAATATAAACATTTTGGGTGATTAAAATAGAAATAGTTGTTTTAAGAATCAAATTAGTTGCTCAAGCCCTAGCCGGTTTGGCTCAGTGGATAGAGCGTCGGACTGTGGACTGAAGGGTCCCGGGTTCGATTCCAGTCAAGGGCATGTACCTTGGTTGCGGACACATCCCCAGTAGGGGGTGTGCAGGAGGCAGCTGATCGATGTTTCTCTCTCATCGGTGTTTCCAACTCTCTATCCCTCTCCCTTCCTCTCTGTAAAAAATCAATAAAATATATTTTTTAAAAATTAGTTGCTCCAGTTCTTACCAAATGTGGAGCTATAATTCCATTTTCAAATGCACCAAGCCTGTTCCCCCTTTCCCTCCTTCTGCTTCTCAAGAGCAGAATCTGGTCATGGCACTGAATCCCAGTAGCCTAAGTGTATCTTGGGATTTAATTCACAAGTGTGTCCTGGACTGCATGTGTTTCAGCAAAGCTTTTGGCAAGAATGTCAAATTACATTTTCAAGTAATGCTTTTTACTAGGTATACCGGTTAATGCGTATTTTTTTCAATAGATGGAGTTACACATATGTTGATATATATGTGATTTGATATGTATGCTCTTTTGTTGTATTGACAACAAGCTTCAAAACTTCATATGTCAAATTTTCTGAAGGTGTTAACATCATATTTTTACGCTTAAAATGTTGAATTTTGTGCCAAAAAAAGAGCATTTGCGGGAAGTTTTAATTCATTACTTTATTTTGAAGAAAAGTGCTGCTGAAAGTTTGGATCACAAAATCTGCACTATTAACCAGTTAATGATTAATTCACATTTTAACCTGTTAATAGTTAATCTGCATTATTAACCGGTTAATGATTAACCTGCATTTTAACCAGTTAATAGTTAATCTGCATTTTTAACCGGTTAATAATTAATCCACATTATTAGCCAGTTTAATGATTAATCTGTATTATTAACTGGTTAATAATCTGCATTTTTAACCAGTTAATAATCTGTATTATTAGCTGGTTAATGATTAATCTGCATTATTAACTGTAATCAAAGAAAACACAATAATTTCAAGAGAAACATCAAAAGTGCTTTATTCAAAGTAATGTCCATCGCTAGCTACACATTTCCCTCATCTTTCAGGTAATTTGTGGATACCGTCCCAATAGAACTTTTTTTGTTTTGAGGCAGACCATTCAGAGACCCAATTTTTCACTTCGTACATTTCTGAGTGCTGCTCAGAAAGTGAGTGTGCCATCGATTGGAACAAGTGATAATCTGAAGGAGCAATACAACAAAATAGTATACATATCAAATTGCATATATATCAACATAAGTGTAACTCCATCTATTGAAAAAAAATCTGCATTATTAACGGGTACACCTAGTAGAAATGCAGGCGGAGTAAGTGGTGTGTTCAAGGCTGTATGGGCAAAAGTTGAGTGTTGGAGTTAGCATGTTTGCACCGAGGGATAGACAACTTTGCCAGCAGAAGCATTAGCCAAGTATTTACCCTGTTGTCATCCTTTGCACAGGGCAAGCCTTTTACCATTAGACAATTTTTTCCTGGAGTGTTCTCTCTAAAATGAAAGTGGGCTCTCTTTTTATTTTTTTATTAGGTATTGCCAAAACAGCGATGTATTCCAGTGTTCAGATATAAGCAGGTCTCCATAAGGTCCTGCTAAGGGCCTCTGGTGGATATATAAAGGGCGGGGTACATGGGCCCTGCTGGGCTCTTTACATGTGCCAGTGTAAATGGTGCTGTGTACTTTCAGCAGGTTACCAGTAAAACTTTTATTGTTGTTACCTGTTTTTGAAGATTGTCTCCTTGACGTAAAATTCCTGTGGATAAGTTTAAACCCTTCAATGTCTAGCACCTTCTTAAATGTAGAACATTATTCTTTCCTGCTGTCTCTTAGAGTTTGCTGGCTTCAGGTCGAGTGTCTGTGCATGTATGCATTGGGGGGTGGAAAAAGGGGTGCTTTTCCTTGGATTTAGAAACCTATTTTTATAAAATCCAATAAGTGACTATTATATGTGTGAACCCTGCTAAGACTAGGTGAACATATTATTTTCCAAATTCTTGAATTGTTTTACCTTGGAAATCCAGTGCACTTCACAACAGAATCTTTGCAGGGGCTTGAAAATCAGCCTGTGATGAACTTTAGCCTGTGATAACCTTAAAAAGTAGCTGTTCCCTTATTATAATTTGTTTAAATAGCCCTGTGTGTCGTAAGTCCTTATACCGAGCATTCCAATTCTATGTGGGGTGTGACTGTGATATGGATTTTTTAGTACAGCTGCAGCAAACACTGTAACTAGTTGGGGCCCTTCATATTATTTTATGTATTCAGACTGTATTGGGGGAAATCCTCAATCTTGAAACCAGGAGACAACTGAATATCTCTCTGTTAATTATATTATGTACTAGTACCAAAGGCCTGCTGTGAACTCATTAAGCCAGTGAAGGAGGGAGTTTTGTTTTTGGTTGTAACAAAGATGTTTCCAGAAAACAGCCTTAGCAACCTTTCTTCTTTCTTTTCTTAAAATAGACTTTTATCATTATTAGAGAGAGAGAGAGAGAGAGAGAGAGAGAGAGAGAGAGAGAGAGAGAGATATCAGTTGCCTCCTGCCATGCCCTGACCTGGAATCCAACCCACAACCTGGGTATGTGCCCTGGCACCTTTTGTTGTATGGGATGACGCTCCAACCAACCAAGCCACACTGGCCAGGGCAACCCTTCTTCTTTCACTGATGAGAGCTAAGATATTCTAAAACTTCACAGCTCCTTAATTCTTCTACAAAATCTACCCTCCCTCCTTTCTTGTTTGAATTATCTGTGGACCAAGGGTTTCTAAAATGCCAAAAAGACTTCCAGCAGTTCTGGATGAAGAAGTTATTTGAAGATTGTTTCCCTTACCCCCTTTCTTAAATAGTCCTTTAATGCTGCATACCCATTTTGTCTGGCAGTAAGATTCTCCACACTTTTTAATTGCCAGGAAGGAAGAATGATCAGGAGTATATACGATTATATAATGCTTGTATATGTGCAGTTGATAATCCTAGTATTAGTCAAATAAGTTGCCAGCTCAATTGTATCCAAAGTAGTTTCACACACACCCCCACCCTACCTCCAACCCTGAGCCACTTTGGTATCTATCTTAGGTGAAGACTTATTTCCTCTAAGCCAGTGGTTCTCACCTTGGCTGCACATTAGAATCACCTGGGAATCTTTTTAAAATCCTGATTTCTGGGCCTCATCCTCCGGAAATTGTTTTCTTTGTTACTAATGTTGTGGCCTCAACCCATAACAAAGAAACAGAATTTTTGGAGGATGTGGCCCATAAATCAGGATTTTAAAAAGATTCCCAGGTGATTCTAATGTGCAGCCAAGGTTGAGAACCACTGCTCTAAGCACACATAGCCAATAAACAGCAAAGGCCAGCTCATGTTCAATTCCCATGGTTATTAGTGTTGTTAGAAAGATTTGTTCTTTATTCTTCATCCCTTTATTTATTGTACATGCTTACCATTGGCAGGCTCAAGTGTCTTCAATGTACTCATTCTTGAGTTCTTGAGATCTTGATTCTTTTCAGATCCCATTTGTCTTACATGGAACATGGACAGCAATAGCAGAAAGAATAGTGAAAGTGAATCCTTGTAAACATTTGTACTACGGTATCTATACCACACCAATTAATATTGGAGTGAATAAAGTACCTAGTGGATTTATTTTCCAGTGGCACTGCATCTCTTGGTCATTATGAAGGAGAGTATGGCTTCTTCAAAGCACAATTTTGGTCCTGTGATAGGAGGAGTAATGTGTGGGTGAACTCTGGGATCTATTTAAAAAAACACCCACAATCCTCCAGCCCCTTATGGCTAAACCACAAGCAAAATGCAGTTGGATTAGGGGAAGGGGAGATACTTTGTGAGTTAAGCTGCTGTAGAGTGATGCGCCTTTGACATTTCTCTTGACCCTTAGGATTCCTTCACTACATAAAGATTATTTATTGGAAACCATTAGTCTATACTGGAATGAATGGCTACACAGAATCATAAGGTCAATACAATATTTAACATCTGCACAGAAGTTGCTGGATGAGAAAAATCTTGAAATTAAAGATCATTTAATATCATCCTTTGACTTATCATAGACTCAAATTATCCAGCATGAATTCCCTTTGTTTCTGCTTGACTGATAACTTCTTGAAATGCACTTATCCTATTACTTCCTCCAAGTATAACTATTTCTCATATATTCATTCAGTTTTTGGTTGTTGTCACATTTTATAAATACTTCTTCATTAATGGTGCCCTCTCTTGGAGTGTAAACTCCCAAAGCTAGAAAAACTATGTCTCATTTGTGTGATTTGAGACATAGAATCATAAAGAATTATAAAAGAGACATGGGTTGATACTGAATAATACTCTGTTTACTGGCCACACTGGTGTTCCTGTGATGTAGCACACTTCCTGATTGGAAAGCTCTTTTGTCTTTTGGAGGTGGCTTTATTATTTTATTTTTCCAAGAAGGTAATAAATATTTTTGCTCTTTTTAAAATATATTTTTATTGATTTCAAAAAGGAAGGGAGAAGGAGAGAGAGATAGAGAAACATCAATATATAGAGAGAATAATTGATTGGCTGCCTCCTGCACACCTCCTACTGGGGATTGAGCTCACAACCCAGGAATTGAATTGTGACCTCCTGGTTCATAGGTTGATGCTCAACCACTGAACCACACTGGCCAGGCTGAATATTTTTGTTTTAATGAAAACCTCCATACATAAGATGCCTAGGCCTTAGCAGCAACCTCACAGATGAAAATGAAGCAGAATTTGTGTACCTAAATCAAATTCTTCTCTCTTGAACCTGATGAACGATGATGGAAATTGAGTGTCCAACACTTTATCTTTCAGGTGATCATTTGAAGATCTGTCCCCAGGGTTATACCTGCTGCTCTCAAGAGATGGAGGAGAAGTACAGCCTGCAAAGTAAAGATGAGTTCAAAAGTGTGGTCACCGAACAGTGCAATCATTTGCAAGCCGTATTTGCTTCCCGTTATAAGAAGTTTGATGGTATGTATTGGAACTTTGGTCCAAGTGAGCATTCACATTTGCTTTGTTCCTCAAGTTCTTTTACACTTTTTTAAAAATAAATCTTTATTATTCAGATTATTACAGTTGTTCCCCCTTTTTCCCCCCATAGCTCCCCTCCACCTGGTTCCTACCCCACCCCATGCCCTCACCCCCCCACTGTCCTCGTCCATAGGTGTACAATTTTTGTCCAGTCTCTTCCTGCACCCCCCACACCCCCTTCCCCCTGAGAATTGTCAGGCCTTTCTATGCCCCTAATTCTGTTATATTCACGTTTATTCTGTTCATCAGATTTTTTATTCACTTGATTTTTAGATTCACTTGTTTTTTTGTTTTTTTTTTAAAGTTTATTTTATTTTATAAATATGTTTTATCGATTTTTTTACAGAGAGGAAGGGAGAGGGATAGAGAGTTAGAAACATCGATGTGAGAGAAACATCGATCATCTGCCTTCTGCACACCCCCTACTGGGGATGTGCCCTCAACCAAGGTACATGCCCTTGACCGGAGTCGAACCTGGGACCATTCAGTATGCAGGCCGACACTCTATCTACTGAGCCAAACTGGTTAGGGCTAGATTCGCTTGTTGATAGATATGTATTTGTTGTCACTTTGTTGTTCATAATTTTTATCTTTACCTTTTTCTTCTTTCTCTTCTTAAAGAATACCCTTCAGCATTTCATATAATACTGGTTTGGCGGTGATGAACTCCTTTAGCTTTTTCTTGTCTGTGAAGCTCATTATCTGACCTTCAATTCTAAATGATAGCTTTGCTGGGTAGAGTAATCTTGGTTGTAGGTCTTTGCTATTCATCACTTTGAATATTTCTTGCCATTCCCCTCTGGCCTGCATAGTTTCTGTTGAGAATCAGCTGACAGTCATATGGGTATTCCCTTGCAGGTAACTAACTTTTTTTCTCTTGCTACTTTTAAGATTCTCTCTTTGTCTTTTGCCCTTGGCATTTTAATTATGATGTGTCTTGGTGTGGTCCTCTTTGGATTCCTCTTGTTTGGGGTTCTCTGTGCTTCCTGGTCTTGTAAGTCTATTTCTTTCACCAGGTAGGGGAAGTTTTCTGTCATTATTTCTTCAAATAGGTTTTCAATATCTTGCTCTCTCTCTTCTTCTGGCACCCCCATAATTCGGATGTTGCTATGCTTGAAGTTGTCCCATAGGCTCCTTACACTATCTTCATATTTTTGGATTCTTTTTTCTTTTTGCTTTTCCGGTTGGGTGTTTTTTGCTTTTCCATATTTCAAGTCTTTGACTTGATTCTTGGGATCCTCTAGTCTGCTGTTGGATTTCTGTATGTTATTCTTTATTTCAGTCAGTGTATGCTTAATTTCTAATTGGTCCTTTTTCATATCCTTGAGGGTCTCACTAAATTTCCCAGAGGTTTCTAGAATATTCTTGAGTAACCTTATAACCGTGGTTTTGAACTCTATATCCAGTAGTTTGCTTTCCTCCATTTCTTTCGTTTGTGACATGTTTCTTTGTCTCCGCATTTTGGCTGCTTCCCTGTGTTGACAGAGTGGCTTTGTGTGTGAGGTGTCCTATAGGGCCCAGTGTCTCAGCCTCCCTAATTACCTGAGGTGGACACTCTTGGTGCACCCCTTTGTGGGCTGTGTGCACAGTCTTGTTGTAGAGCCTTGATTGATGTTGGTATCACTGGGAGGAATTGACCAGCAGGACAATTGGCTGTGAGGACTAGCTGTGTCTACAATGGGAGAACTGCTGTGCTGGAGACACCCTTATGGGGCAGGACTTACTTCAGTGGGGCTTTGGTGCTCACTCAATCAGCCCCTTGAGTGTATCACTTATGGATTTGAAGAATTGTAATTTGTTATGGTCTCACATTGACCACAGGGTACACTGGCTCTTGGATCTCCAAGAAGGTGCAAAGTCAGTCACTGCCTGAGCCCACCCAGCAGGAGCTACAGAGAGATCTGCAGATTCCTCCTCTTTGTTTGGGGTTTGTAAGTGACCAGATGAGGCCCAGCTGTGATGCAGTGCAGGCTACTGTTGAGCCTTAGGCCTTCTTTTGGAAGCTTTGGAGCTCTTTGACCCAGCAGCAGTTTGTTAGGTTTTAGATTGCAAAAGAACAGGCCATTCATATGCAATAGCCTCTGCTCACAGCTTGGGTGGGGTTGTAAATTGGGTGGGGTGGGGTCTCAGGGAATCACCAGGGCAGAGAAAACAGCAATGGCTGCCAGTCAGCCCTGCCCCAGAGAGGTCCCCGGGTCTCTGTGTCCTGCAGCCCCATGCAGGAACAATGATTGCTGCGAGCACCTCTGCAAGAAAGCCGCCCTCGCGTTCCTGTCCCGATGCCAGACAGTCCAGTTTCTCCCCATATGAGTCGGGATCCCCAGAGTCTTGCCCAGAACTGGAGTTCAGAGCACTTGGGAACTTGTATCTCCCTCCTGATTGAAAAAGACAACAGCGCACCCAGTTGCCAGCCCATTTCCGCGCGCACTTCCATACCTCCGCACTTGTGCACCTCCGCACCTCCTACCCGTCTCAATGCGCTTTTCTCTTTCATTCTAGTTGTAGAATTTCCACTCAGCCAGCCTTCCTGTGTTTGATATCCATTTTGTCTTTTAGTTGTAGTTTTGATGTGGTTGTGCATGGCAGCAAGTACAGGTGTGTACCTATGCCACCATCTTGCTTCCTCCTCTTTTTACACTTTTTATTCATGTCACATTTAAGAGGTGATATTTAAGTTTGTACAATTGCTTTTTCAGAGCTCTTCTGTTCTCTCAGTGTTCAAGTTTTCTCTCAAGATGTCCCTTCTTGTTGGATCCTAAGGGCAAGTTAGCCCTATAGCTTTATTGCTAGAATCCTTCTGGATGCACTAAAATCTGTATGGTAGGCATTATGGAAATATGGTCACAGGGAGCCAAAAATAGATTAAAGTAGTTTAATTTAAATGCTTTTATTTCTTTTCTTGGGTGAACACAGAATAGTGTTGTTGACGCACATCACTTAAAAAAATTTTTTCCTAATAAAAAGCAGGCATCTATACAGATGCTGGACTTCAAATTAAATTTCAAAATGGTTCCCCAAAGATAACTAAAATTCGTAGAAACTCTGTAGAACACAGAGAGGATCAACACTCAGTTCTTGAGTTTCCATGCAGCAGTAGCCCAGCGGTAGCAAGTGTACTATAGTCTTCATTAAGCTGATCTCCTTCCCTGGCCTCATTTTAGCGGTGCTCTGGCTTAGTCTATCCATGTAAAGCCACAACCAAACCCATTCCAATCCTCTATGCCAAACATGGATTCTCACGTGTACACTTTATTTAATAGTGAAAAATAGTCAATATGAGCCAATTGAGAAGCACTTCAATCATATCTGAAGCAATGTTACATATAAAGGATTTTAAAAACTAGAATATGGGGTCCAAAACACCTCAGGATCCTTTTCTTTGGCGCTGTTCACTCAGTGTGAAGATTGTTATGATGAGGTAGATTTAATTTTAATAGGAGTGATTTTCTTTGTGCTCATTTTAAAGGCCATTCTAATTACATAGTACCTTTGATGCATGCGTTTCTTGACATTATGTGTGGTGAAGAAGTACAAGGCAAATTTTTAAGATGTGAACTGTCTTTGAGTATTTCTGCAAAGGGCTCGTTACCATGGTGAGAAGCTGGACTAAATTAGATTTGATATAGAAGGCAGTCCTTAGTTAAAGAACAGGTTATATTTCAAATATTGGTTTTCAGATTTGTTATTTGAAACTTATAACCGATTTAATAAGTGTTAGTTGGGTTCCCAGGCTAGATCATGAAAGCATATTTTAGTTGTAATGTAGTTGAACTAATTTTTTTCTATGTAGCATACCATATATTGTACCCATTTTTTTCTAATACTTTGTATGCAGATTGTATGCAAAGTTATGTTTAATCTTAATTTTATCTTCTCCTTTCCCAGGATAGATGGAAATAATTTTTCCATACCTCCCAACACACAGGACTGTAAGGTATATTTAACAATATGTTAGCATCACAAGAAGATCAAGGTTATTGGCAAAAGACATTATTAGACTGCCTCTGTCTCTCTTGGTCACTAAATTACTAGTATGATTATTAAAAAGAATGGTATTCTCTTAACTATGACATTTCTCATTCAAAGACAGTAACCAAAGCATTTTCTTTTACTTGAGGATAAAACTTAGAAAGATAATCAGATGGTCATCTTAGAAAACTTGAGATGCTGATTATTAAAAATTACTACTTGAGTGATTAAGAAGGAAATTAGAAATTAAGATGGAATTTAGAAGGAAAAAATCCTGCTCTTTAGAAATGGCTAGCCTATTGGTAGCATGATGGGGTGCAGATAAAGCTATTTTCAGGTTCCAAGGCCGCCACCTCCAAGTTACCCCATTTCTTATTAGACATTAGTGTGGCGCTCACAGTGATCTCTCTTGTCTATAAGCCTGCTGGTTTAGCTTTCTTTCCCCTACTCGCTCCCCATGGTTTTATAGCATTACTTGTATGATTTCAATGTGTAGTTTTTAAAAAGCCATCCAGTAAGTGTTAACATATGTTTTTGAAAAAAGGACAGAAAAACAGTTTCTCTTGCCCTTTCCTTTCAGGCTTCACATTCAATAAATGTGTTAACACTTTTTATCAGTTTCCAAACTGGTCACAAAAATGATTATGAAATGCCAGTGTGTTTCTTCAGACTTTAATTTAAAACATAGCATTGAGAATAAAGATAGTAAGCATAGATTATTTTTTTGAAGTAGTTGCTGAAACGTGTTTGTTCTAGAGATCAGAACAGAGCTGGGATATGTTGTATAATTCTTCCAAGTTAGGTTTTCTAAGACAATTAAATACTTTTACGGTAAAACCTCAGCTGACTGGTATCCAACAAACCATAATCCTAAAGTAGGTTTTGCATTTATTGATTGGTTGACTTTTAATCCTCAAGGCCTAAAGATGTTGAGTCAAATTGTATAGGGGATGTCTTCACTTTCAAAAATT